CTCGCTTGGATCTCTTACAGGTATCTGACTTAACATGACTAAAACTGAACCCACAGTTTACCATTTTCAGTATCCATCAAATTATAGAATCTGGAAACTCAGGTGTCAGTCTGCAGTCCTTCCTGTCCTCATTTTTCACATTCATTTTATTTGCAAACATTTTTCCTTAAAATTCTACTCACTACCCTCCATTTCACTGAGACTACAATAGTGCAACATACCACCATTTCTAATTGGGAGCATAGTCCTCCTATGTGGTCTCCTTCTGTTCCAGTCTTTTCTCCCACCAGATCCATTCTCCACATAAAAAGTGAAATAGTTGTCTTAGATATAAATAAGATGGCATTACTTCCTTCTCATCTCTTAGGTCTTAGCTCAAAATCTCCTTTCTTCAAATGTGCCTTTATTGATCATCTTACTCAAAACCTACAACGTTTAAGTTTTTCTCTCTAAGTCCAGTTTTTATTCCCCTCAATACACTTTTCAAAACCGGACATTTTTTTGTATTTATTTATTTATTAGTTTACTTTACTTTGTCTTCGTTCCACAGAATATAAGCTTCATGAGGACAAGATTCTATTATCTTTATTGTATCCTAAGAACCCAACACCAAACCAAACAAACAGAACTCTTTAAATAAAGCTATGGGTATGATTGAATAAAACTTGACTCGTTCACCTTAAAATGCTATACAATTTGATCAATAACTTAATCAGTATTATTAATTATATAATCATATGTTTTATATGGTCTTATAAGATTTATGTTCAGTAAATTTTGAATATTGATCACAGCTGTTTCAGAACCATTAACTCTAATCAGTATGTATTACTGAGTGACTGTCTTATGCAGTCAACAACAGTCAAGCCACAAAATGGTAATAGTGTAATATCTGATAGTTTTAGATCTCTTCCAAAGTAATTGTAATAAATGATTTTAGCTGTTGACTGGTTTGAATAAACTCAGATGGTTTTAAAAGTATTCTTGCTAAGGAAGTATAGACAGTTTCAATTTAGAGTTTAATGGTTGTCATAAATTTATAATAATGAAGAAAAAAATTTTTGAAAATAAACTATCAATTTTTACCACTACCCAAACATCCTAAAACAAGACTTTGAAGTTTTTGCTAAAATGTGTACACAAACACACACACACACACACACACATGGGTTCATAGACATACCTATAAATTTATGTTTATGTGTGTGTGTGTGTGTGTGTGTATACGTGTGTATGAGATGTACACACAGACCCATATGTTGGGTATGAGGTTTATAGCTAGGACTCCAATTCAAAATTGAAACCTATTAAAGAAAACAGTTGAATATTTTGTTAAAGCTTTTCAGGAAAAATGGTCTAATCAAATTTTTTGAGAAAAAGTTATGATTATTAATGAATAAAATTATAAGTAAATTTATACTGAACATTCTCTTTTGCATAATGGAGAATATGCCAAAAATGGTATCTCATATTCACTTCTTAAAACCAGGTAGATCAGAGGAACGATTTGTTTTGCTCAGGAATATTCAGCTATTTAACTGTAAAAATCTGATCTGTATATTTAAAGTCATTTTCATTTTTCTAAGCATTGACCTACTTTATAGTGCTTGCCATCATGCATCTAGCATTTCACACTAGAAATGATAAATGGCCAGAAAGTATGTACAATTGTTGTATAACACTATCATATTCTGTTGTGACTACTAAAATTCAAATTCTCATTATGCTTTACATATCAATTGAATTATGCCAGTCTTTTAAGTTTTAAATTAATTTTCTTAAAGGAAAAATCTATCCATTTTGTATAGCTCAGGGGGTTAGAAAATCATAAGTAATTCTACCTATAAATAACCTAGTCTGCATTTGAAATTTAAATTTGCAATCCTAATTACTATTCCAACCATTTTCACAGATTACAGAAGAGAATTCCCTTTCTTGTTTCTAAAAAAATGTCATGTTAAAAACTATCTTCCTTTAGAATGGACTTCAGTTAATATTTAGCTGTCTGAGCAATATTCTGATTTCTGATATAACATATTTTCTGCTCTTTGCTGAAATGAAAATATTCCAGTGTTTTCAGTATCTGTGAATATGCTTCCAAGATATCCTGCTATCACATGGATAACTCCTTCCATTTGCTTCACTGATAATAGGGTTATAACTAAAGTATCCATAGTTCGATTTGTATATTTTTCTTTCTTTTACCTACTGATTCAGAGATAGAAATCAATGCACCATATTCAGTGTAGGGAAAAATCTTAAGTTTTGTTTTCTGAGGAGTGGGGAATTCTCAGGTCAGTATCATTTAATAATTGTGCCAAAACTCAGAAGATGAAATAGAGTGCATGTTCATTAAACTAATGGATGACTATCTGGTGACTGTTAAAGGAGCAAATATAATACATTGCAGGGAAATTCATGAGGGTAGAAAATCAATTCTTTATATACAAGATGGATTTCAAAGAAATAAATACAAATTGTCCAGGTAATAACTGAATAAACTATGTCACAATTTTTGGGGAAATTATACATATTTACTATCTGGAAGGGACTTTAGAAATTTTCTACTTCAATAAAGTAGTTAGCGTTCAGATGAGTATGTTGAGGCTCAGAGATGTAGCAAGTATCTCAAGTTAAAGTCTAAATTGTGTCACATTATAGCTGCATGGCCATAGATAAGTCATTTAATCATTCTAGAATGCACATTGCTCATTAACTTAAGGTGGTGAGAATGGATTTATTCCATATTTATAATATTGAGATATCAGGATTACAAAAAGGTTTAGGAAGCAAAGTTAAATAATTGCCCTTATCAGTGTAGCCTTAGGTATTTTTATACATATATATAATGCACTGGTTGGAATTTCTATGGAATGCTTAATGGTTTAGAACATGGTGCTAAAATTCATGGCTCAGAGGTTCCAACCTTATAATCATGACATTTAGTTAGCTATGATGGGCTTCTAGAAAATGTACCCTACTGTTACCCACTTTTCTTCCTTTTGAATACTGTTAGTCATCGGTAGGTCTAAGAAGAGAGTGAAAAACAAATAGAAAGTCTAGATTACACAATACATCTTATTACTACCATTAAAAGACTAATGATGTTTCAAATCCTATTAGAAAAAGGCTAATCAATAACTTTGCATTGATGATGAAAGACTCTATACCACATTAATAAAATTAAAAATTAAAATATGTAAAATATATATTGATCCATTTATATATTTGAGTACATAAGAATAAATATTTAGCTATTAAACAAGTTTGGCTCGTGGCCTACAATAAACAGTTTGTTAGAGGCTACTGATTGTATTTATCCATCTCCCCAAGGACAAAGCTAAAAAATTATCAAATCATTTTCACTGAAAATTATATGAAAAATAAAGATATATTTTTAGCAACTATCAAATTCAGGCAAGAGTAATTTGCAATTAATTTTTAATGTGAGAATATGCATTATAGGGAAGAAAATTTTGCCAGTCATCAGATCAACATCATCACCATCGTTATCATATCATTCTGTTAATCTATACAGTACTTATGTGCCAAGAACTATTAATGCTAATATAAATATAGTGTGTGTGTGTGCACACGTGTATTCCTCACTAAAACCTCATGAAATGGAGAGTACAGAGAAGCTAAGAAGCTAGTAAGCAACAGAAACAAGATTAAAACCCAGTCAGTGTAATTTCACAATATATACTCTTTATCACTTCGTTAATACATGAAACTGTACCATAGGAACAATGTTTTTGCAAAGCAAACTTCTGTTTTAAAGATAAAGAAAGCTAAAGCTAGTCAAGACTGAGTCAGTCTTTTGGTCTGATTGGAAGGAGAGGATATGTGAGTGAAGGAGGGCAGAGTGATCCACTGAAGTTCTTGGCTCTGTCCTAGAACTACCCTTAATAGAACTAAAGCTTTGTAAAACACTGGGTTTGGGGAAGGAGGAGTTAAAGAAACAACTCTGATATATATGGATTTTTACTCACAGTTAATTTAATCTAAACTGAATTTAAAAGCTAATAATATAGCTTCTTTTAAAACCAGCTTATTGACACCTACTACTGATAAAAAATAGTGTTCCAGATTTCCATCAAATGATATTCACGGAGTTCAAATATTTACGGTAGATACCTCTGAAAAAGGTAGTGAAGACTTCCAGATAGGTGTCTCTGATTTGTTTCAAATACAAAGCTTTAATTATTTAGTAGGATTAAAGTAAGTTAATCCTACTGTGATAGTATTTGACTCTTTGGTTGTATGGGAATGGGCCAGGCCCCCCCAACATAAGTCTTTATCTGTTATTTCTCTGTCAATTTGCTTCAAAATATAAAATACATAATAAATTGACATGCCCTAAAACAAAAAGGATAACCTACAGCCACAAGTCTAAACAAATGTTCTAGTTTATTTTTCTCAAAAGGAATAACCATGATAATCAATGTGTCCGTCATACACCAGTAAACAATATTGCTCTATTTTGGATGTTCCCTGAAATATAGTTATTAGGAGTCAGAAGAAATGATTACACTATCGAATTGATCTCTTGCCCTAGAAGAGAACTATATTTCTCATATTGTTAAAAATGAAACAATTTACCCTGTATATTTTTGAGTTTATTTTCTAATGTAAAAACAAAGTGATGGTTCCCAATATGATCTCATGATGAAAAAAACCCTCATGTTCATAATATATTATTAAATACTATAAAATACAGAAAGTTCTAGAAATGTTAGGTATTATTAATTACCATTCTTATGTAACTACAGAAAATGTATTAAAAGAAACACATAATATCATGCAATTAAAATGAATTGTACCCAGCTATGAGAATAAAGGAGTAGGGAAATGTTCTATTTCTATACAGGGAGAATACTGGGAGGAATCACTGAATATATTAATTACCTCTTATAATCAGATACTGTGATTGACAGATTAAAAAAACAGGGAAGTGGGGGAAGGTGTGAGCCTTCAAATATTCAATTTTATTTACTTACAATCAAGCCACTGTTTGCTTGCCTTTTTTCTCTGCCATGTATCCTTTTGTAGAAAATTCCGCCTGGATTAAACTGAGTACTCCAAATAATCATATCTCTCTGATAATATACATCCATCCCTGTTATCCTTGAATTATGTTCAAAATGAGAAATTTGTTGATGATCGCCACTGTAGTTGAATGGATATATAAAACCCAGGATATCAGTGTCATTAGCAATGTAGAGAACTTGATCTTCAGAGCCTGGAGATTATTATAATAAAATACAAAAATAAAATAAAATTCAACTAATGTAAAAGCAACGAATGTACTTTTAAATTAACTTGAATTGTTATTCTTAACACAGTTTCTTGCTCAATAAAAATAAACCGGCTTTATACCATCTTTTAGTCTTCATGACATTTCTAAAACACACTTAACTAAACATTTCTAAGAGTTATTAATGGAGGTTTTCTTAGGTCAAAGCTTACCTTATGGCTAGAAATTAGGTATTTGTAGTAGATATCCTTTTTATGAAAAGGGATTTCTATTTGGTAAGTCACAATACCTTATGTTTTAATGCTTTGGATCTGAATATTCAAATACCATGTTATATACTCACTAAGCCTCAGACATTCCTGAGCATTTAGTTTATGCACCTGAGTGATCATTACCTTAGGCTAAGAAATAAAAATTACAAGATGAAGAGTCTTCTTCTTCCAATATTCATATATGTCAAATGTTCTTTTATTTTTATTTTATAAAAATATCAGTGTTTATTATATTAACATGCCATAATCTCAATATTTTCTAGAATCTTGCTAACTGGAACCATGTAGCCTGAAATTTTCACACCTACAATACAATACTGATGTAATCTGCATACTGAGACAAGTAAAACCCTAAAGAGAATCCTGAAAATAGTAACTAAAATATTAATGAAACCGTAAAGAAAGACTGAATTGCATATATAATATCTGCAAATTAAAAAAAAAATAATACACGAGTTGTAGTTCAGCTCTATAGGCTCAATAGCTCTCACTTAGTAAATGGTTACTATGTGATAGGAGATGTATTAAGTCTTTGACAATTTATCTCCTCTTACAACAACCATGGAAAGTAAGGATTAGGCCTCCCATTTTACAGATGAGGAACTGAGGCTCAGAGAGTTTAACTTCCCCGAGGCCACACAATCAGGTGCAATGCTGGGATTCAAATACAAGTCTGTCTAATTCCATAGCCCATTCTTGCTTGATTCACTATATCATGTTGCTTTCCTCTTGTAATAACTGTCTTATTAACATTGTTAATCATGCCCTGTAGCTAACAATATTTAAATTACAATATTATTTAGTAAAAACATAAAAGCATTAAAAGCCATATCTAAGAAGCCCCAAATATATATCTGTAATTTAATTTTTTAAAAATGATATTCATAAGTAGAGGAGGTCTGAATTTGAAGACATAATTTTATTTTAAAACCTTTAAGTTCTTACTCAAAATTCCATTCTCCTTATAATGCTAACATTTAATTTAACTCGTTATTTTTATCCTAGTGGTATAATGTTTCCTCAAGTACACTGAGAGCAGGCCATAAAGAAAGATACTTCATATTCTATCACATTGACTTTTAAATTTTACCTCCTGATAAATTGTTTCAAACACAAAAGTGATTTTAATAGTAGCCAGGTATTTGACAGCCATGTTTATAAACATTCCCAGATTATATTAAGAATGATAATAAATAAATTGGACAATTTAACCAGTATTAAAGAGATTTATTTTATATTTTCAGGCATTAAGCCATTGTGAAAATGCAATATGAAACATTTTTTTCCCATAAAATGTTTACAGCAAATTATAACAACATTTAAAGTAATGGTTATATATCCTTACCTTTTGCTATGCAGGTGTTATTTCTTTCTTGAAAATTCTGGTCACACACACATTTATAGGATCCTTCCATGTTTACACATTGGTGGGAACACGTGCCAAACACCAAACATTCATTAAGGTCTAGAAAAGAAGAGCTCAAAATAGCACCATCATAACCCCAATTAGTACTGTCATTCTTTCCACTTTTCAAAAAAGACATGTGTTTTGTGTCCTTCAACTTATTATTCCTATTTCTTTCATTTTCTTTTCAAACTGTTAAGTCTGTGACTTGCTATGTAATATTTTCCGGCCATAACAATTTTTTCACAAGTTTCACTATAATGACTCATCAATTGTTTGTGCATTGCTTGTTAATCCACTTAACACGTTGAAATATCCATTTCAAACTTCCCTAGTATTTTCATTCACTCAAATAAAGGTTGAGTTTTCTGATTACCTGCCGCCATACCTTTGCACATATCATATGATATTCCTGTGTCCTGTAATGCCCTTGCTGTTTACATAGAAAATTTCTACTCATCTCTCAAGATTCACCTGAAGTGAAGCCTTCCTTGGGCTTCACCAATATACAGTAATGGTTATCTATCTCCTAGATTCTCCACTTTTTGCTCTCTTGGAATTTCTGTCTTATGCCACACATATGAAATATAGTTCATATGGTATTTCATGTATGTGGTCACATATTCATACCCCTACTTGACTGTCAGTCCCTTGGGATCATAAATTAGTATTTATTCATTTTTTTATTGTCAACATTTTGCACAATTCCTGGCAAAGAATGAAGATATGGATACACCTCTACACACTTCTGGCTTCATGTATACAAAGTGGCTATGTAACAAGAAGGGCCAAGTGAACAAACAACAACAAAATCTTGAATGCCTACATAAAAATAAATATATATAAATCATAAGTAATAAATAAATCTTAGGCAATATTCTATGGCTTAGCACATGCCTCAAATTTTAAAGTTTTAAGCAGGGCCAGGATTGAGGTCAGGTGATTCTGGTGAATTATCTACCTCCTCTACTTCTGCTTTCAATCAGCATAAATTCCTCTGCCCCCTTTATCACTTATAGTTGCCCTAATTACATAATAAATCTGTGAGATTAATTCTCCTCTTGAATTAGAGGAATTTAAGGATAAGCACAGCAATAGTAATTTTCTCTTGTTAGCACTCAACAGTGTTCCAAAGCCTCAGTGGTAGAGATGAGGACTTTCCCAGTAACATTTGTAAGTGACAGTGCCAAGGCTTAAACTCAGGCTTCTTGATTCTATTGTCTCTAATATGATACTTTGCCCAAAGTGAACTTACGTACTCTCAAGAGTGCAATTCTGCGTTTAATTGAAGTGTAGGCTAAAGAGACAAAACTGAATTTACTTGTTGACAAATGCTATACCAGGGATAAGTAAAATACATGGTATCAGCTCTCAGCTATCAAAAAAGTATTTCTCGAAAGAAGAAATAATCCAGTCGAGAAATAATTCGCTTTTTTATTAAAATAGAGAAACTTAAGTTGTCAGTTTTCAGTGTTCCACGTTAATGAAGAAATAAAATGGCATGAATGATCTAAACAAGTATATAACTCAAAATGTTCATATATATGATGTGATTACAATTATTTCCCCTTTGGATGAGTATAATTAATTTCAATAATTCCATTTTGATTGACACAAAATAAAAATCGCTTTTATTTACCCAAGAATAACACAAGGAGACAATCAAGAAGAGAGCTTGTAGGTGAAAGCATTTTACGAGTTGAATTTGCCCTGGATAAGCCAGACTTGGATAATTTAGGTTTGGCTCTAACCACAATAATATCAATATTAATGGAGAAACTGGCAGAAAGTGCGTATAGGTCTTTATTTCATGGCTCTGTAGTTAAAGACCTGGTGTAAATTATATTTACATATAACTTACTATGAGATTCTGGCTCCCTTACATGCTCAGTTTTTAAATGATCACAAGGAATCTGACAGAGATTTATTTAAATCCTGTCTTTGAATTTTAGGAGACACTCTTGATAATATAAAGCACTGTTTAAGACGTGGTGTTAGGACAAAAGCCCACAATTCTCTAAAAGTGAATTACCTATCGCAGTATCGCAAATGCCACAACTCAAGAGAAGTGTGGGATCATAAACATGTTCTTTCGCGAAGGCCGCTAATTCTTCAACAGTTTCTGAACCAGCAATTTCGTTATTTGCATTTCAAAACACAATTTTAACAATACAATAGAAATTCCTGCAGGTCTGAATCTACTATACGAAAGGCTTTGTAAGCCTCAGCAACAGTTAGCTTAGCAGTGCAAACAGTCTCTTGACCCCAGGGACTTTTACTCTCATAAGTAAAACGGTATCCCGTAGATATGCACCATTCTGAGGAAAATCAGTCCCCTGTCATCTCACAATTTAGCAGCTTTGGGAGTCTTTTCTAACCTAAAGATTTAAGAGCAAGCTGTTGAGGAAATGTACTATACCTTCACACTGTCTGTTTTTCATGTTTCTCTGAAATCCAGGCTTACAGCGACAGAAAACAGATGTTTTTATTTGATTACAATATGCATCATCTCCACATGGATTCACATTATCTTCACAGGTATATTCAGCGGGAGCTAGGATTTAAAAATATGATCAAAACTGATATAATTCTAATTCCTGAGTGGGAGTTTACTATTTTTCTTAATTTAAAATTACATTTATTATTCCATAGATAACTCTTTTTGAATTTATAAGGTTATGGTCTTCTCCCCATATAAGCCCTCATTTCTTATAAAGGTATAGAAGCAGATAAAAACCAAAATCAATTACATTAGGGATAGTTTAGACCAAGCTGCCAACAGCTGATATTTACAGCTGTGATTGAGCTATACTACTTTCCAAAAGGAATTCGAGAATCAATGGCTCTAATGACAGTCTATCTTTACCATGATACAATGTACAAGAGTCACATTCTTCTCTAAGAACCAAAACATTCCCTAGAAGCTACCTAGAGATGTAGGCATCTCTTGCTAACTTAAACTTAGTATTCAGGAACTCAGTCAAGGGTACTACCATGTTACTCAAGCAAGAGGTTAAATTATCAGTTCCTAAACACATACAGGGAGCAGCATTTGAGTTTGTAATATGCTCCAATGGACATGGACTGCAATACAAGTTAGGACAGACTATGTGTTATTTGTAGTTTCCAGCATGGTAGTTGCAACTTCATTGCTTTATCTCCAATTCAGGAAAATATTTTAGAGTGCAAATAAAAGAGAGGGACATTATTATAGGGGTAACATTGAATTAGCTCTATTTTACTTAAATCTAATTACATGAGAAATATGAAAACCTTAATTATCAGAAATATAATGTTAATTCCCACTGATTCTTGACTATTTTGTAATTAATTAAAATACACCAGTGGAATTATATACACCACGATTGAGATATACATGGCCATATCCTGGTGGATACTGCTTCAACATCCAGTGAGGAACAACTTATGTATAAATGAGAACAAAATAAAAGACTCAAGAACTGGAACTATTTTGTGACTTTTACAAGCAATATGAATTTAAGGTCGTAAGTTTAATTAGTTTTCCCAATATGGAAAAATCAGATATCAAACATTAAACACAAAATTATTCACAATCAAGGTCTCATAACTTAAGTATCATAGCACTCTAACTGAACAAAATAATGATGTCGTCTTTGAGAATGACTCAGCAATGGATTAAGATTTTAAAACATTAAACAAATTATTAAGACCTTTACCATCATTCAAATGAATATCACTGTAAAATTCAGAAACTATTATATTTATATTTTATAAATAAAATATTAAGGAATATAGATTTCTTTGCTGATATCAAGGTCTGTATTTGGATAAAGTTTCAGCTTTAACAAATATACTCATATTTGTTATGTTATCAAATACTCATATTTGATATTGTAAAATCAACCTTTCCTACCTCATACTTTAAATTAATTAAAATGATATTCTAAGGTTACTTTGGCAAAGGCCTAAAGACGAGAGCAATCTTTTTTGGAAGAGCAATCTTTTCTCACAGCAGTAAAGAAAATTTTAGTCATGTTGAAGCAGAAATTGAACTTGTGTGTTGCTGCATTTTAACAGGAAACAAACTCACTTATTCTGCAGGCTTGTTCGTCTGAACCATCTCCACAGTCATCAAGCTGATCGCACTGGAGGTCCATAGGGATACATTTTTTATTACTGCAAGCAAACTCATCTTTTTTACAAGGTCTTGCTTTATATGTAAGCTTACCTATAGAGTTATTTAAAAAATGATCAGCACTTCACAGAATCAAAACAAATTTACTGAGTCTATAACAGGTTCAAGATTTTGCTAAACACTATGAAAAACATAGATCCATAATCCTTTATTTGAAGCTCTTGGGGCTAAATGAAAAAAACATTCTGAAATTTTTGATTCTTAGAAAAATAACACTGTATTTACCCTATAATAAATGACACTATATTTCCACAGGAAAATTTCTGAATATTCACCCTAAGTGAGATAATTTTTTTAAAAAGTAATATAAACTACCTCAGACCAGTTCAAGTCAGGGTCTGTCACCAAATGGTTTTGCTGCATATTTTAGTAAAGCTTTTGGTTTTTTGAGTTTTAATTTCTGAATTGTGAAAAAGGGACTGTGTACGCATACATACAATCTATATAAACACTTTTCCCCCAAGAAGTTGTTTAACAGAATATTTTAAACCACTATATTGTTTCTCTCATGCAGTACTTTCTAGAATAAAGTACCTATAACCAATGGAGATTTACAGACCTGGAGGGAGCGGATAAAGTTGCACAGCTCTACTATGCAAATCAAATGTTAGTGGATTATCTTCATACCCTGTATGAAGAATATTAAAATATTTTTTTTTAATTTTTTAAGCCCTAAAATCATTGCATTATCTGTAGCTGTCACTGAATCAATTATTTCACATTAAAAAGATTTACCACCACAGGGATCTTCATCTGAGTTGTCCCCACAGTCATCAACCCCATTGCACATTTGCTCAGGCTGCAGGCATATTCTGTTATTTCTGCATCTGTGCGGTCTTGTGGGTGGGCAAAGAAATTTTTCTGAAAAAAAAAGAAAAAACAAAGCAGCTCCTTGGGGTACACTGACTTATGAAGAACCATCCTTCTTTTGTCTTCCTTTTATTTTCTTCCTTTTCAAATCCATAATCTAGCTTTTCTGAATATCTTTTGTTGTGGGAAGTGCTTACATGTAGATACTAGAAAAACGTGTGATAATAGAAGGTATGATCCTAGTTATTTATATTAACAACAGAAAAGAGTGCATAGCTGAAATGTTGAATGAAGTAAGAAAAAAAGCCAAACGTCATGGTTTTATTTCCAAATGCTTTATCTTAGCTGACTTCCCTTAGTGTACCAAATTAATTTATGCCTATGGTTTATACAACATGGCAGGACACAGCTATCTGAAAGAGCAATTTCACACAGAATAGAGCTTGAGCAAGCATACGTTATGGATCCAAAATTGAAAATAGGTCATTCAGCAAAAAAAAAAAAAAAAATCCCAACAACACTATAACTGTGTTTCTTACTCTCTGTCTCCATAAACAAATGGGCCGATATGTATTTAAGGCAAATAAGGTCATCTTACTTATTCATTTTTAATGTGTGTGTGTGTGTGTGTGTGTGTGTGTGTGTGTATGAGACTTAAATAAACAATTAAAGCCAGGGAATTTTACACTTGTCCTTTCCATCACTATCGAATCTGAAGACTTCTACCCCTAAAGTAGGAAACATCTCTAATGTCTTCCCAATCTCATATGTGGAATACTGCACGGTGCTATCATTGGTCCCCTGATGTTCTCACTCTTGAATTCTCTGCTTAGATATTCTCATGCATTCTCATGGATTTACTTGACACTATATTCTGAAGACTTTCAATTTGCTATCTAATTCTAGCATCTCATAGTTAATTATAGGACGTTCCCTTGGGAATTTAAAATTCAACAAGTTCAAAGCTCAATTCTTCATCATCTTCCCTTGACCTCCTTCTCCTCAAACAAGCTCTGTCTTATTTCCATAGTTCAGTTTGTGGTACATAATAGCCACAAGTTTGGGATTATTCTAAATGCATCCTCTCACTATGCTTCAACTCTTATTAGTCAACAAGTGCAGTTGGTATTGTCCCAAATTTGCCTTCTTATCTCCATGCCTACCAGTTACAACTCCAACAGCTCAGCTATTTATTATTTCTTACAGAGATGACTGTCATAGAATCCTTAATGTCTCAGTTTCATTGCCCAACCTAAAATCCTCCCAAAGCCACCAGAACAGCAATCTGATCATTTCTTCCATAGCTATTCATCACTTCCAGAATAAAATTTAAGATACTTTACATGGCATAATAGACTTATCATTATCTTGTCCATGCCACTCCTACAGACTCATCCCTTGTCACTCTTTATTAGCTCCTTAAATATGCCATATTCCTTCTTGCCACCTTCCTTATTTTAATTAAAATCTGTTTTTCACTCTAAGCAGAGTTCCTCCTCTTCAGGTTTTTTGGAATGTCTCTTAAATTGCTCAAACCTCATGTTATCTCATATTTGAAGACATAATAATTTCCTACTATGGCTTCCAGAACTTTGTTACTATATATTCATATTCTATTTTTTTAAAATAAACTAAAAACAAAAACTGTTATTTTGAGGACCAGGCATTTGGTTGTATTTTTTTTCTTATCTCTATTTTCTCATTAACCTTATAAACATCACCCCCTCCCCAATTCACTGAAGACTGTAGCACCATCCCTCACAGCTATTTCTCTCCATCTAAATTATTCCAGCATCCTAGGTGACATCAACATCCATACGAGCAAACTAGCCAATAACTGCACCACTTAACTTCCTGATTTTCTCATACCCAATGTCCTTTTACTCTAATCCACCTAGGCCACCCATTCTTCTAGAAGGCTGTGGACATGGGTGGATTTCAACAAAATTATCTTCTTAATTCAGCCAATGACAGTTCCTGCTACCCGCAGATAAGAAACACTGACACAGCCGGATTTGCTATTTCCTCCAATTGCTTCATTTACAAAGCCACTAATTTTAAAAGTCTGAACAAAAATTCTGACAACAATTTCCAGTTAGCCAACTTTTTAATTCAACCAGTCTCATTAAAGATGCTTTTTCAGTCTTACCTGAAACTTTAGCCCATTGATACGTCTAACTCTTCCTTATTTACCATTGCCTTTTTCTCTTTACTTCCATTTCTGTTGACATTAGATTCCACATTCCATTTTTAATTTACTTATTTGATATTTATTGATAACCTTTATATGTTGGAAATTCTTCTAAGTACTTTTAGAAAATCACTTGTGTCCAAATAATCTGGATTCTCTGGCCCTTTTGCTTTTTTCATCTTAATTATCAGAATCCCAAACTTAGATGAATGAAACCATCTGCTATCCCAGTGTCTGCATCTGGGAAGCCCAGGAATGTTGCAGATGACCATACTGCAAGACCAACTGATATCACAAATATGAATATTTATCAATGCCAGGTAGGCCCTGAACACTACTTGGAAATCATTCATTTATATCTGTATATTTATATCTATCTATATCTAATGTCACTCTTACTCTTTGCAGTAATGATTCAAATCTGCATTCCTTTTGAATCTCCCTACCACACCAACCTTTCACGTTCTATATATGAACATGCTTCCTTACTATACATAAGAAAGTGGAAATTAAAAGATTAAAAAAATGTTATTATATCATTAAATATGTGTACATCCACCTGCATCTGCATATAGTCTATCAACTCATTTCAAGGGGTCACTACCCTTATCTAAAACTGATTTTTTCACTTGCTCTGAAGCTTAATTTCCCCTGCTTCTTCAGGAACTATCCCATCTTTCTTGAAACATTTTATTACCTTCGTATTTCTCTTGTTATACTTCCTTTTTCTTTTTGCTTATCCTTTTGTTATCACTCACCTGAGTCTCTGCTGGCTGTTCATATTTATCTAGATGTTGGTGGCCCTCAATATTCTATCCTAATCCCCCCCTTTTATGTTTACTCCCTCCCAGGCTAAATCTTACAAATTCCATAGTATTTACTACTACATTTTATGCTGACTCTCAAATTTATATTTCTAGACCAGCTCTTTAAGCTCTAGAATATCTAGCACCTACTTGAAATCAGTACTTGAATGTCTCCTCAGATGCATCTCAAGCCAGACTTCTAATCTTTACTTGCAAAACTGTTCCTTTTCCTGTGTTCCCCATCTATTCAAATGTGCAAGCGAAAACAGCCTACAAATTATACTGGGCAACTTCCTGTCTCTTGCCTCCTATAACTACTCCATTATTTAATCCAATTCATTTTGCTTTTTAAATCACATTCAAACTGTGTATACTTTGCCATCATGGTCTGTCATTATCTTAATCCAAGCTACCCGCATAGCTTGCCTTGAGCTCTGCAACTGTCTTAACTATTCTTGCCTATTTCTATCCAGTATTTGTGAAATATAAATATGACTATGTGCCTCCTCTATTTTAAATTCTATAGTACTTTTAATTGCTTTCAGGCTAAATCTAAAAATCCCTATCTAGACTCACAAGTTTCCATGTATCTCTCCTGTCTCTTCAGTTTCATCCATTATCTATCTTGCTCTGTATTCTCCAAGCACACACGTCTTTCAGCTTCTCTAGTCAACTGTGGTTCGCTCTACCTCAGGGCCTTTCTACATCTTGTTTCCTTTGCCTAAAATGTTGTGTCATCCACTCTCACTCCATCACTTTCACCTACCTGGCAGCTATAGATTTCTCAGACTCAAACTCAAATGTTACTTCTTATAATCCAAGATTGAGTAAAATCCTTCTGTTCTATATTTTTATAACTTATTATACTTTTTCTTCATTGCATGTATCATAGGTTATAACTATATATTTTTGTGATCATTAATATCCCTCTTCCACTAGACTCTCAGCTCTGTGAAGTCTGGGTCCATATCTGTTTCTCTCATCATTATATCACCACAAATAATCACAGTCTCTAGCTTAACAAATATTTATTAAATGAATGAATGATACTTTTCCCCACACTGTTCTCTATGCCTATGGTGACTTTTAGCCTAGATCTTTCAAAACTGTAGCTTTCTGAATTCTCCTTCAGGCAGAGTTCATCTTATCCCTCTCTGCCTTGTCTTTACTTAATTCTACTATTGCTTAAAATATAATTTATGGAAATTATTATTTTCCAACCAGAATAAGATCTCCTTGTCAAAGAGAACCATGTTCTGTTCAGGTTTTTTTTAATCCCAATTACTTAGCACAGTCTCCAGAACATCATAGCTTGACTCAGTGTTGATACTGATGACTGAGGGGAACGCAAAAATATTCACAGAATTAAGCTGGATGTATTTTACAAGTTTTCCAGCAGCTATGCAGCATGTCCCTGAGAATCACTTCCTGGCCCTTGAAGTGGTTCTGGGGAGGGGGGTGACTCTGGAGCCCCACGTGGTTAATTAGTTTCCAAACATTTCCTATTACACTCAATAGTTTTGTGTTGAAGTGGAATAGAGAATAGAAGGAAAAAACATAGTTTATAAAAATAGTAGGTTTTGGCTTGATACTGGTAAACTCATATTTTTTCAACTATTATGATTCAGAAACAATACTATCTCTGGTCATTCTCTAGAGTTCACTTTGTAAGATTATGTAGAAGAACTGAAATTGAAATTTAGTTATATCACTTATCAGTTGTACCTACAGAGGTCAATTCTCTAACTACTGTCTTTTTCAAATTTTAAAACATGTTTAAAATAAAGCTGACTCCTTGTTTCAGATTTTTTTCTGTAACATCTGTAGTCAATATCATCATCTATCAAAATAATTAGTTTAATTTGATATACCAAATAGAACATAGAATTTAAGAACATACACTCATGCTATGCTTTCTTTAATTCACCTGATGTGCTATTTAGTTATACCCAAAGTAGTAGTATTTTTCTTTAAATTAAAAGTTAAATTACCTTTTTTGCTGAGATTAGCAAAAGAATGAGATGAAGAAAAAAAGTGTTTACCAAATACAGGAAATCATTTAATTTGGTGATCTAAAGGCGCACATTTATATTTATAGTTCGTGGTTGCATAATCACGCTTGTGACTAATGTCAGAAGTAACTTGAATTTGAAGAAGAAATAAATTTTGTTAAGATTTTCAGATTTAAATGTTAAATAACTCCTAATTGTGGTTCTCCACCTAACATTTGTAAGATATATATAGATATAGATATAGATAGATAGATAGATAATGTCTGTATATCTCTATGTATATTTATTTCCCTTCTCTGAATAACCACAGTCTCAGCAGTGGGTGACTTGTGGAAGTACATGATTTGATTATGCACATTTTTTCCATGCTTATCTGTCAAAAAAATTATTTTAGCCTAAAACACCAATTGGGAATAAAGCCCAAGTCCTTATATGAACCTTACTCAATACAAAAGGTCAACTACTCTAAATCCTCCTAGACAGACCATAATCTATCTTTTGAATACTGCTGACATGTGCAAGTTCAGATTTAGGAGGGCTCTCTATAAAGTCATAAACTTTGAGCAGGGCTATCTCTTATTACCTGACCAAAAGCTGTATCTGTGGCTATACTTTATCTACCTAACCCCAGGACGGTAAAATTTGTGGTTCACCTCACCACGTCATCGATTCACGCTGGCGCACTACATCAGGAGATGAGAGTACAATCTAGAGCCACGTGAAATGCCATACCACACATGTCAGGGGCTTCGTCAGAGTTGTCTCCACAGTCATCTTCTCCATCACACACCCAGAAATGTAGTTTGCAGAGGGAATTATTGCAAAGGAACTCATCCGCTCTACATATATTTCCTCCTTTATTTTAAAACAAAAAAGAGACAGAGGGATATAGCATAATTAATTCCAGTCAGCAAAACACATATTCCTCTAATTCTCAGCTCAGTATCTAGTGTCTCATTTCCTTATTTTTTTTTCCTGTATAATACTAGGAACATATAACGTCCAAACTTTTTTTTAAAAGGTATTCATTTTTAACTTTTCAAAACAATCTGATATCACACTCATGTCTATCATATTTTCTTTAAAAAATATTGATCATAAGATGATAGAATCAAGTTTTCTCAAATATAAATTCCCTTCCATTTCATATCATTTCTATGTTACTGAGTGTAAAGAAACTTAGATTTTAAATAGTATTAATTTTCTTTACTAAAAATTATGCTGTTCTGAAAAGAAAAGACACCTTAAAAATTATTAGATAATTCAATTCTATCTGGAAACTGACAGACTGATCCATTAAAAACAGAATGACCAGGAAAAAGTTTTTGCAGTCACAGAGAAACAGTTAATTTTATAACAGAAATATAAATTGGTGATGTGAGGAAATATTATTTATTCTTATAAAAATTGTGCAATAGAGTACTCTTTCTGTGCGTATTTTTTAAATGTTTGCATTCTTTCTCTCTTTACAGTTAAACAGAAAGCATTAATCAACAAAACAAAACAAACAAAAGCCCAGGACCAGATGGCTTCACAGGCGAATTCTATCAAACATTTAGAGAAGAGCTAACACCTATCCTTCTCAAGCTCTTCCAAAATATAGCAGAGGGAGGAACACTCCCAAACTCATTCTACGAGGCCACCATCATCCTCAAACCAAAACCACACAAGGATGTCACAAAGAAAAAAACTACAGGCCAATATCACTGACGAACATAGATGCAAAAATCCTCAACAAACTACTAGCAAACAGAATCCAACAGCACATTAAAAGGATCATACATCATGATCAAGTGGGGTTTATTCCAGGAATGCAAGGATTTTTCAATATACGCAAGTCAATCAACATAATATACCATATTAACAAACTGAAGGAGAAAAACCTTATGATCATCTCAATAGATGCAGAGAAACCTTTTGACAAAACTCAACACCCATTTATGATAAGAACCCTGCAGAAAGTAGGAATAGAGGGAACTTTCCTCAACACAATAAAGGCCATATATGACAAACCCACAGCCAACATCGTCCCCAATGGTGAAAGACTGAAATCATTTCCACTAAGATCAGGAACAAGGCAAGGTTGACCATTCTCACCACTATTATTCAACATAGTTTTGGAAGTTTTAGCCACAGCAAATAGAGAAGAAAAGGAAATAAAAGGAATCCAAATCAGAAAAGAAGAAGTGAAGCTGTCACTGTTTGCAGATGACATGATACTATACATAGAGAATCCTAAAGATGCTACCAGAAAACTACTAGAGCTAAACAATGAATTTGGTAAAGTAGCAGGATACAAAATTAATGCACAGAAATCTCTGGCATTCCTATACACTAATGATGAAAAATCTGAAAGTGAAATCAAGAAAACACTCCCATTTACCATTGCAACAAAAAGAATAAAATACCTAGGAATAAACCTACCTAAGGAGACAAAAGATCTGTATGCAGAAAATTATAAGACACTGATGAAAGAAATTAAAGATGATACAAATAGATGGAGAGATTACCATGTTCTTGGATTGGAAGAATCAACATTGTGAAAATGACTCTACTACCAAAAGCAATCTACAGATTCAATGCAATCCCTATCAAACTACCACTGGCATTTTTCACAGAACTAGAACAAAAAATTTCACAATTTGTATGGAAACACAAAAGACCCCGAATAGCCAAAGCAATCTTGAGAACGAAAAATGGAGCTGGAGGAATCAGGCTCCCAGACTTCAGACTATACTACAAAGCTACAGTAATCAAAACAATATGGTACTGGCAGAAACACAGAAAGATAGATCAATGGAACAGGATAGAAAGCCCAGAGATAAACCCACGCACATATGGTCACCTTATCTTTGATAAAAGAGGTAGGAATATACAGTGGAGAAAGGACAGCCTCTTCAATAAATGGTGCTGGTAAAACTGGACAGGTACATGTAAAAGTATGAGATTAGGACACTCCCTAACACCATACACAAAAATAAGCTCAAAATGGATTAAACACCTAAATGTAAGGCCAGAAACTATCAAACTCTTAGAGGAAAATATAGGCGGAACACACTATGACATAAATCACAGCAAGATCCTTTTTGACCCACCTGCTACAGAAATGGAAATAAAAACAAAAATAAACAAATGGGACCTAATGAAACTTAAAAGTTTTGCGCAGCAAGGGAAACCATAAAGAAGATCAAAAGACAACTCTCAGAATGGGAGAAAATATTTGCAAATGAAGCAACTGACAAAGGATTAATCTCCAAAATTTACAAGCAGCTCATGCAGCTCAATAACAAAAAAACAAACAACCCAATCCAAAAATGGGCAGAAGACCTAAATAGACATTTCTCCAAAGAAGATATGCAGACTGCCAACAAACACATGAAAGAATGCTCAACATCATTAATCATTAGAGAAATGCACATCAAAACTACAATGAGATATCATCTCACACCAGTAGGAATGGCCATCATCAAAAAGTCTAGAAACAATAAATGCTGGAGAGGGTGTGGAGAAAAGGGAACACTCTTGCATTGCTGGTGGGAATGTGAATTGGTACGGCCACTATGGAGAACAGTATGGAGGTTCCTTAAAAAACTAAAAATAGAACGACCATATGACCCAGCAATCCCACTACTGGGCATATACCCTGAGAAAACCATAATTCAAAAAGAGTCATCTACCAAAATGTTCACTGCAGCTCTATTTACAATAGCCAGGAGATGGAAACAACCTAAGTATCCATCATCGGATGAATGGATAAAGAAGATGTGGCATAGATATACAATGGAATATTACTCAGCCATAAAAAGAAACGAAATTGAGTTATTTGTAGTGAGGTGGATGGACCTAGAGTCGGTCATAAAGAGTGAAATAAGTCAGAAAGGGAAAGACAAATACCGTATGATAACACATATATATGGAATCTAAGAAAAAAAATGTCATGAAGAACCTAGGGGTAAGACAGGAATAAAGACACAGACCTACTAGAGAATGGACTTGAGGATATGGGGAGGGGGAAGGGTAACCTGTGACAAAGTGAGAGAGTGGTATGGACATATATACACTACCAAACATAAAATAGATAGCTAGTGGGAAGCAGCCGCATAGCACAGGGATATCAGCTCGGTGCTTTGTGACCACCTAGATGGGTGGGATAGAGAGGGTGGGAGGGAGGGAGATGTAAGAGGGAAGAGATATATGAACATATGTATATGTATAACTGATTCACTTTGTTATATAGCAGAAACTAACAAACCATTGTAAAGCAATTATTCTGCAATAAAGATGTAAAAAAAGAAAATCTAGAAACAATAAATGCTGGAGAGGGTGTGGAGAAAAGGGAACCCTCTTGCACTCTTGGTGGGAATGTAAATTGATACAGCTACTATGGAGAACAGTGTGGAGGTTCCTTAAAAAACTACAAATAGAACTACCATATGACCCAGCAATCCCACTACTGGGCATATACCCTGAGAAAACCATAATTCAAAAAGAGTCCTGTACCAAAATGTTCATTGCAGCTCTATTTACAATAGCCAGGACATGGAAGCAACCTAAGTGTCCATCAACAGAAGAATGGATAAAGAAGATGTGGCACATATATACAATGGAATATTACTCAGCCATAAAAAGAAATGAAATTGAGTTATTTGTAGTGAGGTGGATGGACCTAGAGTCTGTCATAAAGAGTGAAATAAGTCAGAAGGGAAAGACAAATACCGTATGATAACACATATATATGGAATCTGAGGGAAAAAAAAAAAAAAGAAAAAAAAGGTCATGAAGAACCTAGGGGTAAGACAGGAATAAAGACACAGACCTGTTAGAGCATGGACTTGAGGATATGGGGAGGGGGAAGGGTAAGCTGTGACAAAATGAGAGAGTGGCATGGACATATATACACTACCAAACGTAAAACAGATAGCTAGTGGGAAGCAGCCGCATAGCACAGGGAGATCAGCTCAGTGGTTTGTGATTACCTAGAGGGGTGGGATAGGGAGGGTGGGAGGGAGGGAGACACAAGAGGGAAGAGATATGGGAACATACATATATGTATAACTGATTCACTTTGTTATAAAGCAGAAACTAACACACCATTGTAAAGCAATTATACTCCAATAAAGATGTTAAAAAAAAAAAAGAATACAGGGAAGATATACAGATTGCCAACAAACACATGAAAGGATGCTCAACATCACTAAATTTAGAAAAATGAAAATCAAAATTATAATGAGGTATCACCTCACACCAGTCAGAATGACCATCATCAAAAAATCTACAAACAATAAATGCTGGAGAGGGTGTGGAGAAAAGGGAACCCTCTTGCACTCTTGGTGGGAATGTAAATTGATACAGCCACTATGGAGAACGGTATGGAGGTTCCTTAAAAAACTAAAAATAGAACTACCATACGATCCAGCAATCCCACTACTGGGCATATACCCTGAGAAAACCATAATTCAAAAAGAGTCATGTACCACAATGTTCACTGCAGCACTATTTACAATAGCCAGGACATGGAAACAACCTAAGTGTCCATCGTCAGATGAATGGATAAAGAAGATGTGGCACATATATACAATGGAATATTACTCAGTCATAAAAAGAAATGAAATTGAGTTATTTGTAGTGAGGTGGATAGACCTAGAGTCTGTCATACAGAGCGAAGTAAGTCAGAAAGAGAAAAATAAATACCATATGCTAACACATATATATGGAATCAAAAAAAAAAAAAACCAAAAAGTTTCTGAAGAACCTAAGTGCAGGACAAGAATAAAGACACAGACGTAGAGGATGGACTTGAGGACACGGGGAGGGGGAAGGGTAAGCTGGGACGAAGTGAGAGAGTGGCATGGACA